GGAATAGTTTTAATTCTAGCACTTTCAACATACATACATGGAAAGTAAAGCATTTCAAGGTATCAACTGGTATGTTGGTCAAAAAAAAACCTGGATCAGCTTTAGGCAGCTGTTCTGAAAACAGAGAACTAACTTAAGTGAACTATACTAAAAATTAAACTAAGGAAGTATATTCTATGGTGAGAAGCCACAGTGGGAATCTGATTAACCTATATTGTCTGACTAATATATGTTTTACTTGGGATGTGTTTTCAAGAGCAACAAATGTGCTTTCTGGGACTATACTTGTGGCTTGTGAACTCTATTCCAATAAAATATGAGCATGCAAGGCTTTCAGGTCAGCTCAAACCTAACAGCAGTTACACTGTGCCTGAATTGATGACCTAAAAAAATTTTTTTAAAGATTAGACTTTTCTGGTAAGGAGCTTTTGTTCTAACTAGATGAGGGAAGATTAAAAAGTATAAACTAGGATCATTTATGCAGTTTCTATCTTGCCATATAGGGGTTTTATTAGTAACAATTTTCATGAAAAGACATCTTGGAGAAAATCTAATAGAGCAAATTGCACACAGATTTAGTAAAATCATTCCTTAAGCTTCTGTGTTGAAAGGTTTCCTTTACCCTTGACTGGTGTCTGGATTGGGTTTGGAAAGAACTTATAGTATTTCAAGAATGAATTAGTGATATGTTGTACCTAAATTTTTAAAAAGTGGCATGTGTTAATTATATATTTCTTATTAATAAGTATTATATTTAATATTCATACATTCATATACTTTTGGATCCAGTTTACTCATTTTCTCCCTTCCAATCCATCTTCTATACTCTCCAGCTTTCCCTCCCAACTTCATCTATCTTTTAAATTTAATACCCTTTGAGTCCACTTAGTACTGCCTATATGTGTATGTCCGTGGGACCATCTACTGGAGCAAGGGTAGTCTTTCATAAGTGTAGCCCTAGCCACATTGAGTTTATATGTACAACTGTGCTCTCATGATAGGCATATATAGCTTTGTTACAGATAGTTACTCCTTCTGGCTTTTATAGTTTTTTTCATACGTTCTTCTGTAATGAGCCCTGAATGTTGAGAAAAGGTAGTGTCACACAAAGTTTCATTTAATGCTGTGCATTCCAATCTCTTATTTTCTGCACAGTAATTGGATGTGGGTCTTTGTACTAATTGCCATGTACTGAAAAAAGAAGTTCCTCTGAGAACGGTTATGAGATTCACTAATCAATGGATATAAAGATAAGAACATAGGAGGCAGTTTAATACTATATTAATTTAGCCTAATAATAGCATTAGGGCCTATGACCTAGCCAGTCACTGATTTTTGCCCTAGTTAATGGTGCAGTCAAATCCTAAAAACAACTTATACAGAAAGTATACAAAGAAAAGAGGATACAAATCTACCAAAAATTTCTAAGGGAACACATGCAAAATAGCTGAATGAAATAAGGAAGTCAATACAGGATCAGAAAATAGTGTTCAATAAGGAATTACTGAAGAATACCAAAGTAAAATGCTGGAAATGGAAATTTTTAATAAATCACACAAAAGGCTCAGTGTAAACCTCACAAAAAGAATGCATCAGGGAGGACAGACTAACAGGGCATAAAAGCAAGTAAGAGGACTTGGAATACTCAATCAACCAAATGTCTGTGAACAGAATTTATGCAATCTTGGAGACATTATGAAAAGACAAAAAAAATCAATGAATTTTGAGGAGGGTAATTTAAATACAAATAAGAATAAAATGGAAAAATAAAGAACAGACAGTTGGGGCTGTTTGGGTTTTAAAAAAATGGACTGAAAGGAAACTGGTTTGAATATAAATATATGACCTGACAACATAAAGAGTTTCATTTCTCAGGAGGTTGAAACCCTACTAACCCGTCAAGCTCATGATTTTTTGGAGGCAAAAATATAAAAGAGTAAATCTGAAAGTGATATAGTGCAAAGCTATATCTGACACACTGCTTAGATCCAATGTGACCGTTCCCAACAAATTTTAACCTCATTTAGTACTATTCAGTCCTAATTTGCCCCTCCCAACTTAGCAGTACTCTGCTGACAAAACTTTATCATTTACCATGACAGATACTCTGAATATGGTTCACAAAGAGTCTTTTCGGGGTGCTGAAATGTCCACACAGCGGATTTTTTGAAATGATGTGTGGTATTATACAATAATGAACAGGTAGCTCAATGGCAAAATTACAATCTATACATGAAATTATGGATCAGTTTAAACTGATTTTTACAATAGTGTCAAGAACACTCCATGCAGAAAAGAATAATTTTTTAAACAAATGAAAACAGGATAAGGTGCAGCCACTTGACAATGGCACTGCAGTCACTTGAAAAAAAAGAAAGTTTCTCTTACATCACACTATGCCAAAAAAAAAAAACCCAAATAGACTAATCATTTCAATGTAAGATACAAACCTATGAAGCTCTTAGAAAAAAACAGGTGGAAAACTTGGGAAAGTATTATTATATATGAGGTCTAAAATATAAAGAACAAAAGAAAAGCTTATTATAGGTAATATGAAAATAGGTATCTATAAAAATATTTTGGCAAATTAAGATTGGATTTTGATGCCAAGAAAATATACTCCACACAGAAGAAAAAAGTATTACGAAGTCATATACCTAATGTGTGTGTGTGTATGTATGTATATATGTATATATATATGTATATATATATATATATATATATATATACACTTTTTAAAAATAATCTTTTTGGGTGGGCCAACTCATAAATCTGGTTCTGGGTCAGGAAAGTTGTAGGGATCCTCAGCCCACCAGCTCTCTCTTATCTTCACCACCAAGGTGAACTCTCCAGCATTGCCCTGGCTAGTTCATGCTTTGTAGCAATGAACAAAGAGTGGTGTCTGTTCTCCTGATTTCATGTCCTCAGACTTGGCTTTCCCACACCCATACCTTCAGGGACAGCTCTACTGTGTTGCCCAGGTGAGGTGTGTTGGTCATTCTCTCAAAGGCTGTAGCTGGTGAGAGGCACAGACAGCTCATCCACTTTTAAAATTCCAGGTGGTGAGGAGTGGGGCAGAGGGCATCACTCCCCTGCACACTACCAAATGACAGATGAAGGGCAGGGCCAGAGCTCCCACATGCTCATGTTCTCAAGGCTGGTTCCCTGACCCCTGTCAGTAGGAGCTCTTCTATGCTGTCCAGGTAAGGTGTAGGGCCCACTTTCCCATGTGATGAAACTGGTAAGAGAGAGGGTCAGCTCCCTAAACCACCACAAGTGGTAGGGCCAAGGAAGGAAGGGTATTTTTCCCTTGCCCTCACCACCACATTTTGGCAGATGTTGGAGCTGTGACCAGCTATTTCACTCTCACACCCTTAGGGCCAGCTCATCTGTGCCTCTGCCAATAGGGTCAGGTCTACTATGCTGCCCAGGTAAGGAGCAGGGCCTGCTATTCTGAGTGCTTCAACTGATAAGGGGGAGAGTCAGATCCCTTATCTGTTGCATGTGGAGAGGAGTGAGTGTTAAGAAAGGGCAACTCTCTCCCACCAACCACTCCATCTATGATCTTCTGGAACACATGAAGGGGCTGGTCCTGCAGATCCAAATCTGCAGGATCTGCACAACACAGTGCAACAGGATATCAAAGAGGAGTCCTAGAGAGACCTTGAACCAGACCAATGACTCTTGGCAAAGAACCCTTGCAAGTAAAGTTATAAGGGTAAAAGGGTTTACTGTGTGAATCACTGTGTCACAGTACAACCTCCATGACAAGATTTTTTTTCCTTTTTTCTCTTAAATTTTATTTTATGGGGAGTTTGCAATGGCAGACCACAGATATAAAGGAACAGGAAAACAAATGTATCATTAAAGACACAAAGAATAAACTAAAAAGAAAGTTAAAATAAATAAAAATATTTTTGTTATTATGTTTACATAATTTTCTCCTTCCCATGTATTCCTCACTGCTCTCTTTCAAACTGGTGTCCTCTTTATTCTTTAACTATTATTTTATACATGTATGTGTGTGTAATAGAGGAGAGAGAGCGAGAGAGAGAGAGAGAAAGAGAGAGAGACAGAAACACAAACTGTTCAGTCTATATAATATTATCTCTTTGTATACATTAACTTCTGAAACAGTATATAACTTTGGGACAATTCATTAAGCAACAAATAATGGGTTTTGATGCGATTTTACTTCTAGGTATATTACCGGCAAGAAATGAAACATATTCCATTACAGAATCTTTTAAAACATTTAGATTAGCCTTATATCTGTGATGGAATGAATCTATATGCCCATCGATGTATAGGTCTACACATAAAAAGTGATAATGCCTAATATGGAATATTGTTCAATCATAAAAGTTAAGATACATACTATAACAGAGTAATCTTGGATTAGTTATACTAATTAAATGAATGAAGTCATAAGGTAGAATTCATATGATTCAATTCATATAAAATAAGTAAAATAGAAAATTTGACAGAAAGTTGATCAGTTGTTTCGTAGGGAAAGATTGGGTAGGGGAAGATACATAGGTAATAGTTACAGAGTTGTCACTGTACTAATAAAATACTCTAACAGAGTTGATAGTTGCATGTATCTGTGAATATATTAAAAAACACTGAGCTTCATACTTTATTGGGTGAATTATATCCTAAACCATTAAAAACACATTATAGATAGGCATTGGGAGTCTAACCAGCATTGCAGGAAAACACCACATACTGCAAAAAAATGTTCCTGGGTTGATTATATATATATACAAATATATCATATATTTTATTCGACTTTATTTCATGTCCTTTTTGTTGTGCTTTTTTTCTTTGTAGTAAATCATATAATTTAGTATTATTATGTATTAAGTATTAAATTAAGTATTATTGTGTATTATATTACTTTGTAACCACTCTATCTCTTCAGATTCTGAATTTATTTTCCAAAATATTAACAAATAGTATGACTAAATTCTCAGACAATTTCTACTGCATATACTCACCTCTGTTATCTTTTTGTTGTACAGACTTATGCTTTTCAGTTTTCTTTTTCTGACCAAGCTTAGTAGGCAGGGTAAGAGGCCTCCAAAAACCTAGAGTCATATTAAACAGACTCAGTTATTTCCAATTACTAATAAAATGATATTATACAAAAGAATTTTAACTACACAATATTTGGGAAATTATGTTAAGGTATGTTACTTTTGTTTATTCTGCATTTGTTTAACTCTGTGAAGCTGTGATACTTTGCCTGTCTAAAACACCTGATGGTCTAATAAAGTTTTAAATGGCCAATAGCGAGGCAGGAAAAAGGATAGGCATGGTTGGCATGCAGATAGAATATATAGTAGGAGAAATCTGGGGAAAAGAGTTGCTGAGAGGTAGCCCAAGAAGAAGGAGGTCATCAGGGGACAGCCATCCAGCTACATAGTAATCCACAGAGTAAGTAAAAAATGGTTATAAAAACACTGTCTGTTATGGCCTAAGAACACAATGTTAAATTTAGCTAGCATCATTCTGAAATAAATAAAAGGGTTTAAGTATAGAAGACTAAGTACATCACCATTTAAATTACCTTTCCTCTCTTATAAAGGTGTCCCTGAAGTTCCTTAATTTTCAAGGAATAGTTTGCATTTATCTGTTACTCATGTTTATTTTATCATAATATAGAAGAGATAAAAAATTACCTAAAGCAAGAAGATATTCCTATTTTTGAAAGTGAAATAAAAATCTGGTATTACGATGTTTAGTCTCTGAATTTCTTATTAGTTTTTTTTAAGTGGTTTAAGACCAAACTATATCAAAGTTATTGACATTTGGGAAAATGTTATGATTCCATTAATAAAACTTATAAGGTATTTTTAAAGGCCACACATATTTTAGCTTACCTGGAGGACGATTATCTTTTCTACGAGCACCAAGTCGTTGTGCTTCATTTTCTGAATCACGATGTTCGGACTCCATGAGGTGTTCTCTTTCCTTATCCATTTGAAACCCCTCATTGTCAAATCCCTTCTCTGTCTTTATGGGGTGTCTTTTACTTTCAGGTTTATTTTGATCTCTTTCATTTCCAGCTTTTTTCTGATGTTTTTCAGATCTGGAGTCTACTTGATCTTTTTCAGTGATACTCTGAAATGTTTGAAGGTCACCCTGACATTTTCCAAAGCTATCTTGAGGTACTATAGACCGAAAATGATACTTTCCAGAGCTATCCCAGTGTCCACTATGACCAGAATCTAACTGTTCTATTTTAGCATCTAACCACTGCTGTAGAGACTCAGACTTGTGAGTCCCCTTGAGTCTTTCCAAATGATAGGTACTTTTGCATGCTTCAGCTTTCTTTATGTGCTTCACAGAATCAGAGGACATCACAGGGCTTTCAGAGTCTGAGTTCACTGTTCTTTCAGACCAAGAATCCTTTGTGGGCTTGTTATTAGCAGTGCTCATATGAAATGTTTCTGTATCTACGAAATGTTTCACAGCTGCTGAGGCTAGCACACATCTTTCTAAATCTGAGTCCATCTCACTTGATTCAGAGTCAGAGTCCATCAAATATCTCTTAGATCTTTGCTTTTCCACCTGTGTCATATGTACCTTAGACGTTGATGCTTTAACATTTTCTGTGCCTGAGTCTACTGCATAACTCTCAGAATCAGGTATCATCCAGAAAATTTCAGTCTCCATCACTGTTTTTTCAGAGTCCATTAGACGTTTTATGGAATCTGAAGCCATTTGACGTTTTTCTTCTTTCTTTCTTTCATTATTAGAGGTTGAGTCTCTTTCAGAGTCAGAAACTTCCAGGGATTTCTCTGAGCCTGAGAGCACCCAGTCTTTCAGAGATTCAGATTCCACCTGTTCAATTCTCACCAGCAGTTGCTCTGTCTTGGTGAAGTCTTCAACTGAGACTGAACCCATTTGATAACTTTCTGCTTTTAATGGGTGTTTTCTAGAGTCTGCATCCCTAGGAGACTTTTCTGAGTCAGAATCTACTCCCCATACTACCGATCCAGAGCCCTTAGATTGTTCTAACTCAAAATCTGAGACAACACCTCGGTCAGAGTCAGAATCAATTGCACATCTTTCAGAACCAGAGTCCATAAGGGGAGTATCACTTTCAATAATTGTTAGGTCTTCAAACGTTTTATAGTAAAAAGAACTCCCCAAAGTTTCAGATACATTTGTATCAGGAATTTCCATTTTAGATTTGTTTTTCTCATCATGTTCCGATGTAACTGCTCCTTCATCACTTCAAGAAAAACAAACATAAATGCATTTACAAGTTGGTACTAAGGCATTACCTCTGCTGAAATTCTTCTGTAAGAAAATACTATGGAGCATATAGTCCTATCTGTCTACTGTATAAAGCAAGAGGCAACATTAAGCTTTCTGTGAAAAAAATAAGAATATTAGTGTGTTTATTTTATACTCTTCCCTGACATAAGGTATTTACTTCTGCCCTCACATTAACTATTTTATGATGGACTTAAAATATTTCTCTGAGTAGGATAATGCCTTATTAACGTGTGATTTTCTTGTCACTATCTAGTCAATATATCAATTTTTAGGGATCAAGTATCACTTTTAAAATAAACTGTAAATTAAAAATAGGTTTTTTTTTGCACTCAAGTCTAGGTGAAAATTGTATATAGATAGATCTGATTATTAGTGAGAGTTACCTTGGAGTGTCAATTCTTTGTGAAGATGAACAACTCTCAGATACTCTTTGATTTGGAAGGGATGTATATTGTATGGGAAGTTCATATGATAAGACAGTTGTAGTTATTGGCTGAAAAACAAATAAAACATGAAGTTATCGCTTTTTAGTTAAATACAAAACACAACACAATAAAGCATTTACACTGGAGAGGGTTATTAACTTGATTAGTTACAAACTAGAGCTTGATAGGTTTTGTATAATCTTCCTGAGTAAAATCTCATATTTAAATATAGACATGATAGACACATTATGGGATGTTTGTTCATTATCTATGTTCCTACAAACTAATCTCCATGCCTAAATAACAGAAGAGTCCTATGCAACCCAGTCTTGGGATTGCATGTAACTACCATTTGATTAAAATTAGATTAGCCCCATTCCCTTTGTTAGAGATTTGAAGTTAGTATTCAGAAAAATTTTCCCACCTTGTTATATGAAAATTAGAGTAAACAATATTAGTTTCTGTGTAAAATCTATGCCTGTCATGTGCTTAGAAGAGTATAACAAACAACCTTTCTTAAAGAATAGACATTCATGTCTAGAGGAAACAGATATAGGTGATCATATGATTTTAGAAAAAGAGATAGAAATATTTTCTACCAAGTTTTTGACATTTTTTTCAGTTAGCAATTCAAGTTTCTTCTTATAGTAACACTATTTCCTGTTCTTGAATATTTTTAGGTTATAATAGATTACTGAATTAAGTCCTTCACCATTTGTCCATTTTTTAATTCTTAAAGTATAAGTAAATTTTGTTCTTTTCAAACACGACTTTTTAAAGGGGGTAGAATTACAGCCAGCATTTTATTGAAAAACCAAAAACTAGAAAAGTATAACAAATGTGACTTTTAGACACATGAACATTACTAACACAGAAAGAAAGTTGGAGGATGACTAAAATTAATTTTATTTATGTGAAGACACTTCTTTTTTAATGTAACTTTAACAAGACATAATGATATACTATAATGGGTCATTTAGATATGATATACGAAAATTTCCATATTATATCATATTTCAGAATTGATGGTAATACGTGAAATGTTTGAAATTTATTTTCTCAAAATATAACTGGAAGGCTTAAACATTATACTTAGAAGAATTGTTTGAAATATAATATATAATTATAAAATATACATGATTAAAAAATTAAAGATAACATTTATTTACAAGGTAAATAAAAAAGAAAAATATTAAAATTTCTACATTAAAGAAGTGGATAGAAAATTGTATTTATTTCCCAAATAATTATCTAAAAGCACTTCTCTCACTCCTATTCTAATGCTATATATAGAAAAGCTTATTAAACTCTCATTTTTCAGTGGCTAGTTTTATTGATTTATTGGTTTCTTTCATGCTAGGAAATATTGTAATTTTCTTACACGGTGTGTGTCTTTTTTCATGGAGAAAACATGATATTTGTGTGAGTCTACACTATTTCACTTAATATGATTCCCTCCATTTCCATCAATTTTACTACAAATGACATAGTTTCATTATTTTTGTGGATGAATGAAACTCCATTATGCATCTATACATTCACTTTATCCATCTTATGATGAACACCTAGGCTGACCCTATAATTTGGATATTAGGAATAGTGCCACAATAAGCATGGTTGTTAAAGTATTTTGTAATATGATTTCTTATTTTCCTCTAGATATACTTTCATGAATAATGTGTCTTTAACATGTGCTGCTTCTAAGCTTAGGGTTTTGCCTGAAACATTGAAATTGCTAGAACAAAATGTAATAGAGGTACTTTGACTCATAGGCAGGCAAGGGTAAGAACTTTATGAAAATTTCTCTAATATTTCAGTAAATAATAGCAAGAAGTAACAAATACTACTTCATGAAATTAAAACACATCTTCATAGCAAAAGAAATGACATAATAAAGAGACAGCCTTTAGATGATAGAAAACATGATAGAAGAAAATCTTTGCCACTTACACAGTTTACGGGGATTAATATCTACAATATATATTAAGAACTGAAAAAAGTAACACAGAAACCAAGCAAATACTCTAATCAACAAATGAACAAATTAAATAAGTAAATGCTTCTAAAAAGAAGAAGTACAGAGGGTTGGTGAGATGGCTCAGGGGTAAAGTTCTCTGCCATCAAGAATGATGAACTAGCTTTGATCATCAATACAAAGATATAATATATATATGGAATGGTAAATAATCTAACTGCATGCCTTTTATCATTACTTAATGTACCTATATCTTGCATTACTACATTTCACCCCTTAAGTAAGTATAAGTATTGGTCAGTTAATACTAAAATAATACTAGAGAAATGATAGGGACAATTACTAAATAAATAAAAGCCTAAAAATTATAAATTCAAGAAAACACCAGTTGTAAATTCTAGAGTTGAAAAAAATTAAATGATAAAAATAAACTACTAACTAGATATATGGAAATATATATTGGAGCTGTAATGAAAACTAGTTGAAATGGTAGGGACGAGATAAAAGGCCCTGAGCCTGAATGAATGGAGTTCCATCATTCCAAATAAAAGAGAAAAGTCACCAGAGCAACAGAAACTTATGAAATTATATCAAACACCAAGTCAAGGTAATATAAGAAGGAGAAGATACAACAAGAGAAATCAGAGAAAACACTTGTATCAAATGAGATTTAGTGACCAACCCTGAAGATACTTGAAGTAAAGGGATGTGGACACAGGGCCCTCCTAGTTCTTTCCTGTTGCACTCTTTCACATTTTCTTCTATTCTATATCCTTTGTGATCACCACAAAGGATATAGGATAAAGGATATAGGATATATTCCTTTGTGATCCTCATTCCCTGCCTCAATCCACAGAACCACACTCTACAAGGGAGTCAGGTGGCCACATTGGGCTAAGACACATGTAAGCTACATTTATTGTCCTTCCTGTCATCTATTCTCATCTCTCCAGATTAATTCCTAGTCCCTCTACTGCCCACTCAAGTAACCCCTCTTCCCAACGCGCCACAACTCCTTATGGATCCTACATCTTGGTGAAAAATCAGAGTCTTCCCAGGTCTTTCCCACGACCTCATTCACTCCTTTCTTCTAGCCTATCTCCATTTGTTTGTGACACTCTTAACTCACAGAAACACTCTATACCAGAAATCCCACAGTCAATAGATGTATCTAGGACCCAAAGTGAAAAATAGCCACAAAAGCATGCAATACTCAAAGAAGTTGAGATCAGATACCTACTCCAAGAAATACTTCAAACATCATAAATCCAGATGTTTCAGCATGCAAACACAAACATACAAAACTAAACAAAATTCCTCAACCAGAAGCCAGCAGCTCTATTTTGAAAGGCCCTGACAAAAGCATTTTACCTGAAGTACAAGACACGTATTTTAAAATAGCAATTATGATTATGCTGATTTAACTTGAAGAAGTATGAATGAATGCCTTATTGAAGACTGTGAAAATACAAACTGTTGAATGAAATAATGAAAACAATTCAAGCCATAAAAGAAGAACTAAACAAGGAAACAGCAGATTCTCAAATTGAAATAAGTTGGAAGTTAAAAACTCAGGATGGTAAACAAAAACTTTAAAGGTAAACATCACCAACAGAATACATGACACAGAAAAGAGAATCACAAGACAGAAACAAATATCTCAATATTGAATCTGATAAAAAAAAAAACCAAGGAACAAAACATTCAGGAAATCAGGGACACAATGAAAAAATAAAACCTATGAATAGTTGGTATAAAGGAAGAAAAAGAAAGCCAAGTCGAACACCCACAAATATTTTTTAACAAAACCATACATTTCTCCAACTTAAGAAAGAGATGCCTATCAAGGTACAAGAATCATACAGAACAGCAAATGAACAGAAAAGAAACTCCCCACATCACAAAGTAATCAAAACACTAAATGGACAGAACAAAGAAAGTATGTTAAAAGCTGCAAGGGGCAAAGAACAAGTTATATATAAATGTAGGCCCACTAGAAAAAAAAAAACTTGGATTTTCAATGGAGTTTCTAAAAGTTAAAAAGATGTGGACGGATGATTTTAAATTTCTGAGGGACCACAGAAAACAACCCAGACTAATATAATAAGTAAAACTATCAATCATAACCAATGGAGAAAAAAATCTATGATAAAAATAAATTTAAGCAATTTTTCTTCATGTATCCAGATCTACACCTCTACAGAAGGTACCAGAAGAAAACCTTAGTCTGAAAATAAATTTAAGTACACCTCAGAGGACACAAGAAATAAATAATTTCAGAACAGTGAACTAAATAATGTAGGGAGACCACAACAAAACAACAAAATAAGAGGAACAATATACATTAATCACTAAAATCTTTCAATATAATTTCCTACATGTGGACCTTGGGGGGAGGGAAGAGGAAGGAAAGGGAGCAGAGGAAAATGCAGAGCTCAATAACAATCAATAAAAAAACAATTTTAATCCAAAAAATTCCCTATTAAAAAGACACAGACTAACAGATGGTAATAGCTAACCGGATCCATCTTTCTGCTGCATCCAAGAAATATACCTCATCATCAAAAATCAGTATCATTATAGGATAAAAGAATGGGAGAATATATTCCAAGTTGATGAACACAATAAAGAAGCAGGTGTAACCATTTTAATAATTTAAAAGATAGACCACATACCAAAAATAATCATAAGAGATAGGGAAGAATACTCTATACTTATAAAATAAAAAATGTAACAAGAGAACATCACAATTCTAAACATTTATGTGCCAAATGCAAGGGCACTGAACTTCATTATAAAAAGAACATTACTCCAGCTAAATTCAGATATTGACTTTAACATAGTATTAGTTGATGACTTAATACCCTAGTACTGCCAATGGAAAGGTCATCAAACAAAAAATTAAACAGAGAAACACTGGAGTTAAATAACATCACAAATCAAATTGGACCCATCAGACAGATATCTACAGAACATTTCATTTAAACACAAAAGAATAAATTTTCTTCTCAGCATTTCAAGGAATGTTCTCCAATTTAACCACATATTAAGATACAAATCAAGTGTCAAAATATATTATAAAATTGAT